GTGTGTGTGTGTGTGTGTGTGTGTGTGTGTGTGTGTGTGTGTAGCTGCGAGTGAGTGGAAGTGTATTTTGTCATAGAAAAAGAGACATGCACCAGCACATAGAAAACAGTCCGCAGGATATCTCCAGCTGTTCATTCAGTTCTTTCTGGGAGGTTCTTTATTAGAAATGACAATTTGACTGAATCAGATTTAAGCTCAAAGCCTGGAAATGAATCACGCTGAACAAAAAATATCACCACGTCGAATTTATTCTTACCGTATGTTTGAATAATAAAGCGCTTTATTTTATAAGACATTTTTCGACAAATTAGCTGTAGCTATTTTGCAGTGTGTGTGAGTTATATTTATATTATTTTGGACCAAAATGTTGCTTTATTTTATACAAGATTTAAGCCTAAATGACTGCGTATTGACTGTTTCTATGTTGCTGATTGGGCTAATTGCTTAAACTATAAAATATTTGTTTTATATTTTGACAGATAAAGTGTATTTTCATGAAAAAAATTACTCAAACCAGCTATAAATTGCATAATTTCACATTGCAGACCCATAGTGGCTATTTGTGTATTTTAAAAGTTTATATAATTAATCTTTACTCAATTTTTGACCAAAAGAATTGCTCCATTTTACAGATAATTGTCCAACTATGAACTATTTTTTATTATTGTTGATTAGTAATAGCTATATTTAATTATATTCTTTTAAAAATTTGAATAAAATATGCCAAATTTTTACAAAATTTTTAGTCTGACTGTAGGCTATTTGACGTTTTTATATTACATGCTGATATTAACATTAATTTAAAGCCTAAATAGTTTATATTTTTCCTATTTTTGACCAATAAAATGCCTTATTTTACAGGAAATATTAGAGTGGTTTATTATAAAATGTACCCTAATAATAACTATTTGCCATAACTGTTTAAATAATTAAGTATTTAAAAGAAATGTAACATTCTGCTACATTGTGGTGGTTAAAGCCAGTCTGTGGTGTTTACCTTTGAGCAGGTAAATGCGCGTTCCCTGTGCGTCCCTGAACAGCGCGTGCAGCACCACGTTCACCGTGCTGTCCTCCTTCACCGAGTCCGCGTCCGGTGTCCGCTCGTCGTACAGCACCACGGCGGAGTACATCCCGGAGCGCAGGCGGACCCGGACCTCCTCGTCCCCGGCCAGGATCTGGTCCAGGCTCAGCGCGGAGCCCTTGGCCCTCCGCCGGACGATGGTGTTGCAGCGGGCGTTGACGGCGCCGCGGATGTGGCCCGCGCTGAAGGCGAGGAAGGAGCGGCAGTCCAGCAGCAGGCACTTGTTGTGGGCTCCGTCGTCCTTCAGGAGCCGCTTCAGCATCGTGCAGTCCATCGCGCGCAGGTCCTCCATCGCGCCTCCGCTCTGCTGGTTCTTCGTCTGCGTGTCGGCTGTGTGTTCGGTCGTTTTAACTCGCCCTGACCCGGAGTTTAGGTGGATTCCCCTCCGCGCCTCTCTATCCGCGCATCMCTTCTTTCTCCTGCCGATCTGTCGCCGCTTCTTTCCTCGAATGTTTCTCGTTTTGCTTCTTCTTCTTCTTCGTCTTCTATTTTTTTTATGAATGGGTGCATCGCGTCACAGCGGAGGTGACGTCAACCGGCCTCGGCCAATCAGAAGTCGCTAAGCTTTGCCACGCCCTCTCCTCCTTTGCCGTTCATTCATAAAAAAGACAAACATCAATGAAAGTGGAGGCGACAGGAAAAGCGATTCAAGCCCAACAAACACCAGCTCATTGTGACAAACTGCATGAACGACTTCTTCATTTGTTTGTTTAGTAATAAATTCAGTAAAAAATCCTGTAAACGTACTGTTGTGAGGGAAATGTATGAACATGGTTAATATTCATATATAT